CACACACACGATAACGCACACACACGATAACGCACACACACGATAACGCACACACACGATAACGCACACACACGATAACCCACACACGATAACACACACACACACACGATAACACACAGATTGGATGATGAGATGTGGGCGTGGCTCTCAGAGAGACTAAATGATTGGAGAATGTCGTCCAGTTATGACTTTCAGATTAAACATTATGAACTCAAATGTAAACATGCGCAATGAAATATTCACAATATAAGGTCAATAACATGCATTCAGAAAAAGCAGAGGAATCCTTCTAATATGCTGATTTGCTGCTCAAGAAACATTTCTGATAATCAGTGTCGTTCAGGATTCTAAAGCTCTGACTGCTGGTATTGATCAGTGATTAGCAGGTATTGATCAGCACCTCATGTTTGATGGAGCGCGCGCCGTAATGCAGGTTATATCCTCCGGCCAGCAGCTCCAGCACGGGACGCTCCCACAGCAGCGTGATGTTGTGCCTCTGCTTGGCCTGAAACAAATACACACCAGAATAACTAAAGACTAAATTGATCAGAGTTTTAATCCTTAATTTTAATCCTAATTAATTATCATTTATTATATATGTATAATTATATTGCAACAATTATTATTATTATAAATGTAATATAAAATGTAATAATTGTAATAGCTTTATATAAGCATAAGGTTTATTCATCACTAGCTGCATTGGACGTCATGATGAAGATGGCATCTTTACACTCGATCGTCTTCCCCTTCCCATCAGTCAGTCGACCCTGAAACACAGAGACACACAAACACCATCGGGAAACATTCTAGAAACTATATAATATAATAATCATAATTATCATCATAGCAATCAACTGTTACCACACAGCTCTATATACAAAGTTGGATATATACACTAACTATATTATCGTACTAAATCAGTCTCTTCTCACAGATAATTCTGAGTGAATCTGTACCTCGTCAAAGAGCTGTAACATGATGGTCAGCACGTCTGGATGAGCTTTATCCACCTCGTCGAACAGAACCACGGCGTTCGGACACTGTTTGAGCTGTTTGGTCAGCTGACCACCTTCTTCATGACCCACGTATCCTGGAGGAGAACCGATGAACTTCGCCACCTGAGAGAGAAGAGAGGAAGACAGAACACAGACATGAAAGACAAAGAAGATGCGAACTGAGCAGATCTGACCTCTGAGGGGATCAACTCAATGATTAGATCAAAACACACACACACACACACACACACTCTATCAATATAATAAGAGTGTGTGATTGAATTGTGTGCGTTTAGGCTCAGGCTAAGGTCACTGTGTAACAGCGAGACTAAACGGCTTATGAAGGAGAAACAGACTTCTAGAAACACAAGCTCAGCTTCACACAACATTACTGTATGCAGTTTATAACACGACAAGCTCATTATGCATTTGCAGGTACTCCACAACAGATATTAGTGTAGGTCAGGTTTTCTCAAACTTGTTCATTAAAATACAAATTTTAAATAAATAATTTGAAAACAAAAACAATCCAAATAAATCACTTACTAAAAATGTATTAAATCATAAAAATGTGAAATTAAAATGAAAAATATCAAAACAAAGACAAAAAAATGTCCAAATAATTAAATAATAGTCAAATAAAAACCATCAAAATAAAACGCTTGCAAAAATGAAATCAGACAAATGTACAATATAAATAAACATTTAAATAAAAACAAAAATTGTATTAATCATAAACTGTCAAATTACATTAAAAAAACAAATAAAAAAATCAAAATAAATCACTTACTAAAAATTTATTAAATCATAAAAATATGAAATTAAAATGAATTATTTCAAAATAAAGACAAAAAAAATATTAAAAAAAATAGTCAAATATAAACTATCAAAATAAAACGCTTGCAAAAATGAATTAAATCAGACAAATGTACAATATAAATAAACATTTAAATAAAAACAAAAAATGTATAAATCACAAACTGTCAAATAAAAAAAAGAAATCAACATTTTACAAAAAAATGAATTAAATCAAAAATGTAAAATTTGTAAATTTTAAAAATAAAACTGATCAAAATACAAATCGTAAGAAAAAGCATGAAATCATAATATTACAAATAACATTAATATAATATTATTAATATTAAAAATAAAAATGAAATATTAACATATCAGGGGATGTCATATTTGTAAATATTTTTGGCTGTAAACAAATTTTGGCAGACAAAAACAATTGGGAATCCCTGCTGTAAATTTTATTCTTCTACTGTCGTCTTCTAATTCTCTTTCAGATCAACTGATGTCATGATGGAATAACAGTTTGATCGGTTAAACAATCTGAATACTAACATATGAGGACTGAGGTTTGATTCGTACACATTCAGTATGGACATTGTGATTTTACACTTGCATTTGTTGTTTCCAGTTACTCAGACACTTTGTGAATTCTGTGCTAAAACGTGTGTGTGTGTGTGTGTGTGTGTGTGTGTGTGTGTGTGTCACCTCATGTTTCTCCTGCCATTATATTTAAAGGATTTGTTGTGGAGTGGGGGAAAATAATATGTTTATATTGTTTATAATGTTTGAAGTATGTGTGTGTGTGTGTGTGTGTGTGTGTGTGTGTGTGTGTGTGTGTGTCACCTCATGTTTCTCCTGAAATTCAGACATGTCCATCCGGATGAATCCCTGTATAAAAGAGCGACAGAATCTTGTCATTTACCCTTCATGAGAAGCCAATCGTTTCAGAAGAATCGTTCCCTTATTTACTGACTGACCTTCTTAATGTCTTTATGCATGTATCGTGCCACTTGCTTGGCCAGCTCAGTTTTACCTGCAAACACAACAGTCAAACATTTATTTGCAATTCATTTCATCAAACAATAAAACCAGAAATGCTAAAAATATCACAGCGGTCACGTGATAGACAGAGTTTGACGAAGACGTGAGCAGTTTTGACTCATTATGACGCGACCGCAGCATCAGATGCTGAAGTCTCTCTGTCGTGGTCGTCGTGGAGACAGTACGACTACTTCCTGTCAGCGAGAGAGATCACTTCATGCTGTGTTTATTTTGCTGGCGTCTCGTGGCACGTGTGTCCGTCATCTCTCCCTCCCTTCATTCTTCTCTCAGGGTAATGTAGTCTGTGAGAGTAAATATCGCTCTTATGAATTTTAATAAACTCATATATGGTAAGTGGAGGGACTTGTTGAATATTGATGGCGAGTGATCAGACGTGCTGCTGGCGATAGAAGAAACGTCTCTTCATCAATCAAAGCACAAGAAACAAACACTCACGACTCCAGATTGTCTCTGTGCACCTCTGTGTGTTTATGCTTATGTTCAAAACGTGAGTGCATTTCACTTAAACAGAGACAACACAGGTAAAGAGGGTAACAGTTAGATAAATAGACTTCATATTTTCCACAGTTTATTAATCTCAGTACATTAAGATAGTTGTTTTGTATGAAATGTTGTTTAAATATGCAAATGATGCAATATTGAATTAAATATTAATACTAATTTGCACAAATTTCCAGAAAATAGATCTGAAGATCGGAAAAAATCAGGTGCAAAAATTTAGTTTGACTATGCTGACATATTAGAGTTAAAGGTTTTTATAGAAGGGATTTTGCATATCTGTTTTTATCACTGCATAAATCAGAAAATACCGTCAATAGACAGAAAAAATGCATTTTCACCATGTTTTTAAGAATAAAATGTTGTATAAATGAGTGTGAATGATATATAAACAAACCCTTCAGTAAAATCCTTCAGAATATAGATATGAATAAAACTCTAAGTTTTGGTGTTTGTAAGTGCTGCAGAAGTGGAGAAAAAACTCATTTTGAGAAAACGGCCTTTAAAGATTGTATCGTAAATTAAATCTACAGATGCAAATAGATAAAGTGCAATAATAAAACCAGGTGAATGATATATCATCAAACCCCTCAGTAAAACCCTTCAGAATATAGAGAGGAATAAAACTCTAAGTTTTGGTGTTTGTAAGTGTTACTGAAGTGGAGGAAAAAAAAACTCACAACCTTTAAAAATATGCATTTTCGCCATGTTTTTAGGAATATAATGTTGTATAAATGAGTGTGAATGATATATAAACAAACCCTTCAGTAAAAACCTTCAGAATATAGATATGAATAAAGCTCTAAGTTTTGGTGTATGTAAGTGCTGCTGAAGTGGAGAAACAAACTCAAGAAAACAGCCTGTTTATGTATAAATATGTATGTAATTGAAATCTACAGACGGAAATAGATAAAGTGCAATAAAATAAACACTTAAATGTGTATTTAGGATGTTTTCTTCCCACTAGTCTGAAAGACGACATGTTATGGAAGCATGGTGTTTTGCATAAAAACAAACAAAGAAGTCGACTGACGTGCGGTAAATAATCATATACAAAGACTGCAGGAAGAAGATCAAGCCGGAGGCCTGTCTGACTCCACGACTAAACGCGTGTATATTCATCACGTCTGATGACACATAAATGACAGATCTGGTGAATAAACACATCTATGAATATCATATTAGACTGTAAATCACTTTGGATCACAGGATTTTACAGAACTCCTGTGTGGCTACTTGAAGAGAAACGCGCTTGTGCATCTGGATGAACAACAAAACACACAAAGATTTACATTTATGCATTTAGCAGATGCTTTTTTTCCAAAGAGACTTATAATATAGGCTTAATACAGAAGCTACCGATTCCAGATGAGCCCAGGAAGAGGAAGACGAGGGGATGCTCTTCATCGTACCAGCCGTTCTCCTTCCTCCTAATGGCTGCGGAGAAAAACAGACAATAATTAACTCTAGACAGACAGACAGACGGTAATGAGATGAGGACAGACAGACCGGACGAGAGCAAGCGCTTTAAAAAAATAAAAGACAAAGACTGAGGGAAGACAGAATGATGGAGAGAGAGACAGGCTAGAGCGAGACAGGGCCTCTCTGCACCATTAGACACACACTAATTTCATTACGCTGCTGCAACGCTGGAGCAACTAAATCAGGTTAGAATAGATCCAGCAGAGACTCGGCATGATAACACACGCTCACCATGGCAACCAGCGCGTGTGTGTGTATGTGAGTGTATATATCTGTGTGTGTGTGTGTGAGTTCATCAGACGTCATTACAGCAGATATGTTTGTGTTATTTGTGTTGAGCTGCGTGCAAGCAATCATTCTGTTGTCTTTAAACGCATCACACACACACACACACACACACACACACACACACACACACACACACACACACACACACACACAGACACACACACACACACACACTTACTCAGCTCTCTAAATGGGTTCATTCCATAGACGGCAACTGTTTTTATATACAGCTAGTTATAAATACTATAACCTAACACTAACCCGTCCTAACAGAAAACCTACTGCATATTTAACATAAAAAAAATAGTTTACTTCCCAAAATATGGCTAAGCAGACTGTACAAACACACCTCAATGAATTATCATGACTTGTAAGTTGTTATTATTACTGTATAAATATAATTTATAGAGACAATGTGATATATTACAGATGAACAAAATTAGAGACATTTCAAGGCCTGAAAATCACAATTTAAATTTTTTATATTTCAGGCTTTCCATTATCGGGTCTAAAAACTGTGGTAAAATCACAGTAACGCATTGTGTCTCTCTTATTGCTTTTATAAAACAGCACCTACAGCAATATGATAAAACACACTCAAACTCAAAAAATATACATTTATTAACAATAATAACTGGAATAACTATCTATTCTGCCAAGTAATAAAGATAATTAACATAACTACAACTGTTCACAGTAAGTAAAGTACATTTTAAATACATTCAGTAAATTTTCAGTACTGACTGACATGTATTAATCAGTAAATACAAATAAATATAAATAATTGATAAATGAAATATAAATAAATATTCCCCGTCATTTTGAATGAAATTTGCATTAATTGTAGTTCATTTTGTGCACACACACACACACACACACTCACACACTCACACACACACACACACACACACACACACACACACACACACACACACACACACACACACACACACACACACACACACACACACACACACACACACACACACACACACACACACACACACACACACACACACACACACACACACACACACAGTTATGAGACAGATGGAGCTGATAATAAATCTGATGGTTCACACCACTGTTATTTTAGTATCACTGAGATACTACTGTTTTTATTAATATTTTGAAATAGATTTTATATTTTCTGATTTCACTTTAATTTCAGTTAAAATTTTTGTAATTTTGCTGTATGTATTCAAGATTTTTATTAGTTTTAGCTTTTTAAAAAATATGTAAAAAGTTGTTTTAAATTATTATTGTAGTTTTAGTTATTTTTGTACAAGTTAAACTAAATGAAATAAAAAAAACATTTTATTTCTTTCAGTTAGAGTTTAGTTTATTTCAAGCAGTATATGTATACATGTAAATATGGTTCTAGATAAGAATTTTCAGATCAGGTCTGGTAACCCAAAAGAGAGAATTCCTCACTGCTCTTCAATTATTATTATTATCCCCCCCCCCCTATTTTATTATGGACTGTTTACTTTCTGACTAGAAAAAGTAATGCACAAAAAGAACAGTACATTTACAATGAAGTATTTCCATCAAACTACTGTCAATTCTAGATCATTCACAATGTGTTTGTTTCTAAAACATATACAAATCACACACACACACACACAGCATCCCATTATGCTTGGCACACACACTGTCCTTCCGGAGACAGAACATTTCAAAGGCATCAGGACTTCTCACACACACACACACACACACGCACACGCACACACACACACACACACAC